TGATTTTATTTAAGTCAATAACTTTTAAATTTTCGTTTAGTTTTAAGTTTTAGCTTTAAGTTTTAGTTATTAACTTATTAATTCTTTTAGTTTTAAGTTTTAAATTAAGTTTTTAGTTATTAACTTTTAAATTTACTTTAGTTTTAAGTTTTAACTTAACCTTTTAATTTCGTTTAGTTCTACGTTTTAGCTTTCAGTTTTTAGTTATTAACTTATTAATTTACTTTAGTTTTAAGTTTTAAATTTAAGTTTTTAGTTATTAACTTTTAAATTTACTTTAGTTTTAAGTTTTAACCTTTTAGTTTTAGGTTTTTAAGTTATTAAATTTTAACTTTCACTAATTATTCCAATCCACTGTTTAGTTTTATTTCCTCTTATGATTTAATAGCCACGTTACCACATCTTACCTCTCGGTCTTCAGAACGAAAAAAGGACCGAACTTTCATTTTAGCTCCCCAAGACACCTTCGGGGACGCCACAAAATGTCTCCCTCATTTCTATATACCTTTTATTTTCAGCTATTTAATTCCCTAACAAAGTATTTATTATTGTTCTTCTTCTTTTGCTTCTTTTTTTCTTTTTCTCAAATGTCAACTGACATTTGGCGTTACCAACTACTTGTGTTTGTTCAAGCACAGGGTGCACATGACAACCCTACCACTCCTGTGTTTCTCTGCGAACACAGGATGGGGGGGAGGATATTTCAAAATTCTTCAAATTTTCCTTAATTAAATTACTTGTGGGGAATTTGTGGGCATTTTCTATGAATTCAAAAAAAAAAAAAAAAAACATCTGGCAACTTACTTTCATTTCTAGTTATAAATACAACACTGTGTGTAAAGTATTACTTTCAACCCTCTGGCAACCCCAACTGATCCTGAATGAACAGCTGAATACAAATGTATATGACTGAACGTACGCTATGCGTAAGCGTGTTTTGTAAAATTACACGCGTTTATAATGTTATCAATGGCGGCTGCAGATAATGAGGTAAGTAATGAATATGAAATAAAATAAAAAGTTAAAATATTTTATAGGATTTACAATTTAACATAAAATAATATTTTCGCTTTCTTTTATTCTAGGATTCTATGGCGGATGGAGCCCATTACTATGGATTTAAGGTAAGTAAACTAAAGAGAATTCATTAATGAATGAAAAACTAATGCGTAGTAAATTATTTTCTTTCCAGGGTGCAGTTACAATGAAGACGACGGACGACCATCGACTGTAATCACGTTTGGTTTATAGGAAAAGGTAAGTAAACTGAATTTAATGAAAATTACAAGTGCAAAACAAGTGAAGGAAAGAAATTTAGTGAAATAAAAGGGTGCGGAATGTACATAAAAAGCTTAAAAGTGAAAATCGAAAATCTACGAACCTAAAATACAAAAATAACAAAAGGGTTTGCCAAAAAGGTGTGTAAACAGAATTTGTGTTCGAAATGTGTTCGATTACACGGACGGTACGTAACGTAAAGTAAATTTTGGTTGCTATATATATTTTATTAACGACTTTAACGCCATAAAAGAAAATAAATTCAGAAAAGTGTTTAAGCTGTGCGTGTACGTAATGTGACGTAACGTAACGGAACGAAATTTATTAAAAACGGACATCCGAGTTGGAATTGAAGTTAAAGTGTTGTAAATATTTGCCAGAGTGGAATTTAATGAGAAATTTTGATCTTAGAAAATACAGTGAGTAACAATAAAAATAAAAAATAAAAATATTTTGTGGCAAAATTCAATCAATTGTTTTGATATAATTCAGTGTAGATATATAATTCAGTGTAGAATATACTTGAACAAATTTTTACCGTGTGCGACAAAAGTGAATGACAAGATAACATCTAAAAAGTGTTAAGTGAAAATATTTACATTTACCAAATGTTTGCTGGGAAAAGTTAATCTTTTTAAGCTTTTGAGTAAATTACAGTGAGTGATACACATGTGTTCAACAAAAAAAAAGTACAATGCCAATCGTGACGCAACCGTATCGTATCGTAACGAAATCGTTATTTAATGAAATCCTTCCTAAAAAAAAAAAAAAATAAAATCCTAATTCTGATGATAATTATAAAATTTTAGATCTGATGATAAATTTTCACCGTGCAGCGTGGAATTTGAATAAAAATATTTTAAAATTCAAATTGAAACAACAACTAAACAAAAAAAATCGAAATATACAACTATTCAAACTCTGAAATCATATAAAGTTCTTGTTTTCCGATAACAATGAAGCAAAAATTTAACTCAATCAAACTTAAATGAAAAAATCAAAAAAAAATCCGTTTTTTTTTTTCCTCAAAAAAAACTTGAACCTACATATCTATAGAGCCAATGAATTCGATTTGAAATAACTAATTCTATTTTATATATTTTCTTTTTTCTTTTCTTTTAACTACCATTTTAGATTATTAACTTCACAGCCAGGGGAAAGTCTAAATCCATAAGGACTAAAATTCAACCAACCAACCCACTGAAAGGTAATTCCAAAAATAGTTTGTTTTTTTTTTTCTTTCATTAGATTTGACTTAAAATTCGAACGAACCAAACTCTAAAATCCGAAAAAGCAATTAATCCAATTTAGTATTCTAGCAACAAAATTTAAATGAAATTTAATTTTATAGCTATTCCTAAAAATATAAAACTTTAAATTACTTGCTAGGACTGAGGACATACAAAGACTAAATTCACCACAGATTCGCCGGTCTGCTTCTGAAATCCATGGCGAGAGATACCCTCTGTATATCCCCAAAAAAACTAACAATATTCAAAAAGCGTGTACTAAAATCAGCAGGGCAAACTCAAAACTTAAGACACTCTACAATTTAATTTTCCTTTAGAGCTAAAAGGTAAGTAAAGTATGAGTATGAGATCATCCAAATCCCATGAAATTAATTTAACAAATGATTAGTTTCCTGAGGCAAAAAAAGTAGGATTATAAGGACTAAAACCACCAGAAATGTTATGATTTTCGTCTTACATTCCTGGCAAATGATACCCCCTATAATCCTCCTGAAATTGTTTAAATCAACATTGTAGTATCCAGATAAATTCAAAATAACTGATACCTTACAAAATCCCACAGGTGATGGACTTCAATGGCCTATAAAGCATGGACTGTCATCCGGTTAAATCATTCCTAGCTGACTGGCAGGTATTTATATTAAGTGTATACACCGCAAATTCATCGACTAAAATTAACAATCCACAAATGAGTAAAACCGATTCTCTTTCTTCCAGAATCTGCGGCTTCTGAACCAGCTTCCAACTAAATTAAAATAAACTCGACAGTCAGCTGCAATGTTCGGTGAGTGACTAGTTTAAGATATATACCTAATCATATTACACACCTTAGTACCCTCAGACTTCTACTCCTCGAGATTTTATCCTAGCTGAGCTTAGTTAACTTACCACTAGGTTTAAATATATATAGAAGACAATACTATCATATAGTAGATACAGATTTTTAGTACCCTTTGTTACTTTAACAAAGCTTATTAAAATTATGTTTGTTTTCCCTCAGAAAAATAATGATCCCAACTATCAGTTAGTAATCTTTTATGAATATTGTCATCAGTGAAAATCAACTGATAGCAATAACTCTCTTATGATTCCTTGCAATCATAAGTACATTTATTTACTTTTACCTCGGCTCGCTGTAAAACGGGCTCAGAAAGTGTTATTGGCTTAGATGTCTAATAACCTCTGGCTTCTTAATGGCACGGATCCAGTAGAGCTTAAGAGGTTGCATTATTTGGCCAGTAACCGGTTACACATGTAACCACCTAAGAAACGTCTGCTTGAGCTGAGGTAAATAAATAAAACCTTATTGCAATCCGTGTCTGATTTACTCTGATGGTCGATATGACATAAAAGCTTGACCAATTTCAGGATAGCGCATAATTTCTTAGAGGATCCCAAACGTAATCCACAGCCAAGATAACAATCTGAGGGGGAAATTAACAGTTATTAAAATACCATTATGAGATATTTAAGTAAGTTACTAACCTTTTTATTTTATGGGGAACCCTAAAACGAAGATCGTCAGACGCTTTGAACTTTCAGGATTAGGACCACCAAGGATTTTAGGCTATTGTTTTAAATCTTTTGCATGAAATACTCCTAACCTTACACCCTGAAGGTCTTCAACCTCATATAGACTGTTGCCTATAGGCCGAACTATTCTGCATTTTATAAATTTTCTTGCCAATTTAGCGTTGAAACTGTTCTTAAAGTCGCTCTGCTGGAAATTGCGACGAAAAACTTCTTGACCAGGTATAAATTTTACGGCACTACAACGTGTATTGTACTGTCTCTCGTTCCTTAAATGCGCTCGATGTAGATTTTCCCTTATTTTCTGCCTAGTCAAATCCATTTTCACCGACTTCGGGAGGATTTCCGAATCAGGATCATTTAGAACTTGAAGCTTTCTAGCTAGTTTATATATGCTACCATGCGAAACCATATTCATTCCAAAAAGTGCGAAATAAGGGGTTACACCTATAGACGATTGGACAGAAGATCTTAACGAAAATTCGATCTCCGACAAGTATTTGTCCCACTCAGAATGATCATTCTGTAGGTACGAACGTATTGCAGCCAAAATGGTTTGGTTTACACGCTCGGATGCGTTGGCTTGAGGCGAATGAGTTGCAGTTCTCAGATGGGTAATTCCGAAATTTGTTACCATATCTTGGAATTCCCTACTGATAAACTGCTTCCCATTGTCCGATACTATCGTTTCCGGCGTACCAAATTTGTGAAAGACCTCAGAGATCATAAATCTAATAACGTTTTTCGAATTTGCTTTTGACATGGCTTTCAATAGGACGAATTTCGTCAAATGATCCAATACAATAAATATGAAGCAGTTGCCATTTTTCGATCTCGGATACGGCCCCAAAAAGTCTATGAAGAGCCGTTGAAAGGGTCGTTCTGAAATTGTTTCCGCTCCCATAGGAGGTCTCAGTGTAGCGTTTGACGGTTTTGACTCCTTGCACGTATTACAGTTTGCAACAAAAGCGCGAATCTGGCAATTCATATTCGGCCAATAGAAGTATTCTCTCACTCTTCTTAAGGTTTTCCCAAATCCTCCATGAGAAGTATGTGGTGGATTGTGGCATTTTTCTATAACCCTATTCGTCAGCTCCAACGGTACCCATAATTTCCAGGAAAAGTCTTCATTTAAACTATGACCATCGTACGGACTCACGCGTTTATAGACATAACTGTCTATGACCTTCAAATCAGGCAGGCGTTCGGCATTTTCCTGAACTTTGGCTACCAAGTCCTTATAATCACTACTCCTAAACGCTTCCGAATCGAGATCCAGACAATTGCTTAAATTCGTTGAAACTTCGTCCATATTATAGCGGGACAGAGCGTCAGGAACGATGTTCTTCGCGCCGGGGCGATGCTCTATGCTAAAGGCAAAAGATTGCAGATGCAGACTCCACCGGGCTAAACGACCACTCAAGTCCTTATGGGACATTAGCCATTTAAGGCTGCTGTGATCTGTGATAACCGAAAACGGCATGAGCTCTATGTAGGGACGGAACTTTTTAATGGCCAGTACTACCGCCAGACACTCTCTCTCCGTCACCGAGTAGTTCTTTTGGGCTGGCGTAAGTTTATGGGAGAAAAAGGCGATTGGATGTTCTCCCTCTTCATCATCCTTCTGGAAGAGTACTGCTCCTACTCCTAGATCCGATGCGTCACACTGCACGTAAAAGTGCTTGTTAAAGTCCGGGTGTACAAGCACAGGACTTGTGGTGAGGGCCACCTTCAAGTTATCAAAAGCAAGTTTGGCATCGTCGGGAAAGTTAAAAGATTTGGTTTTCTTTAGGGTATTAAATATAGGGGTAGAGATAGTGGCATAATTGGGAATGAACCTCCTATACCAACCGGTGACTCCCATAAAACTTCTAACCTGCCTAGCTGTCTTCGGATAAGGGTATTTCAAGATGACGCTAATCTTTTCGGGGTCAGGCCTTAATCTTCCTCTTCCTACTATATAACCTAAATATCTCAATTCTCTAAAGCAAAATTTACTCTTCGCGACGTTGATGGTCAAACCCGCCGATTCCAAACAACTAGATACCTCCTTCAGCAGACCCAGGTGAGTTTCAAAATCTGGCGATACTATTAGAAGATCATCCAGATAGACAAAAACTCTATCACGTAGCGCAGCTGGAATCACTTTATCCATTAAACGGCAAAGTCTTTGGGCTGCATTACACAACCCAAAAGGCATTACAGTAAAATGGTAAAGTGGTCTTCCTGGCACCGTGAATGCAGTTTTTTCTCTACTGGATGCATCTAACGGTATCTGCCAGAATGCATCTTTAAGATCTACGCTGGAAATAAAATACGTGTCCCCTAACCGGCTGAGCAGACCCTCAATGTGTGGCAGAGGATAGGCATCCTTGATCGTGAGGGCATTCAGCTTGCGAGCGTCCAAGCACAACCGATTCTTCTCGCCCCTACGGACGAGAGTAACCGGATGACTCCATGGACTATCGCTCTGCTCAATGACCCCAAGATCAAGCATCCTATCAAGCTCTGCGTACATTAGTTTCTGCACCGCTGGCGAGACAGGATAATGCTTGTCCTTCACCGGAGTCGCATCGCAGGTATCAATTATATGGACTTCAAGGTGAGTTCGTCCAAGACCGCGCTTAGAGTAACATGGGAATGATGATATTATTTGGTCTAATCTATACTGTTCCTGTTCTGATAGCAAATGGGTTTCAAATTTTTGATTGTCGTCCGGTTCCGGGCCTAGGTTAACGCCATTTGTGGTGAGGCTGGACACGTTTGCGAAGAAACCGAATTTACGCATAAAATCCACACCTAAAAACAGGGGTTTATTCAGGCTGGGTACCAAGTAGAAAGTAACTTCGCTGGAAATTTTATTGAATGTCAATGTTGTCTTAACACGGCCTACCATTCTATGCGGACTACCATCGGCAGTCTTAACAAACGAAAAAAATTTTGAAATTTGAAGTCCTGCCTTTTCCACAAAACTCAGGCAATCTTTCCCTAGACAGGTCACAGTCGCCCCACTATCTAGCAGACCTTCTATTTCGTTACCGTTTATAGATAATTTGACATAGAAACGTGTATCATCGCCTTCATACAATGATGCTTCCATTATTTCCCTTCGAATCTGCTTTCTTCTTTTATACCTTTCCCGTGCCTTCTTAATCTTACTCGAAACTTCACCAAAAATTCTTAACCTAGCTTGCCTGTACTCTTGTATTCTCTGATGTAGTGGTTTTATTTTATAAACATTTTGTGTTCCTGCCACAACTTTCCTATCTAAGTTTTCTAAAATCTGGATTCTGTTCATAGGCTCTATGATACTCTTACTGGGAGTGATTTTCACGTTTGGGTTGAACGAGTCTCCCCAGCTTGAGGCTTGTTCACCATCACGTTTCCCTGGCATTTCGGGCATTTGGGTGTAACGACATTATCCCGACCACATCTATAGCAAAATATTCTGCGTGTGGGTGCCGGACAATCCATAAAGCTGTGGCCAACTTGTTTACAGTTCCAACACACGTAACGGTCATTAGGGGTTATGGCTTCCACCTCCAAATCTGACACTGGAATTGGATCATCAAAATCAATTTCATGAATACGTTGTGCTGGTAAAGGACGATTCTGAAAAGTCTGCCTTTGGCTAAACAACAAATTCTCCGCCCTCTTGGCTTGCTGACAAAACTCATTCAGTGTTCCAATCTTAACCGAAAATAACAAGTGCGATAATGATGGCTTTAAGTTTGATTTCATTATTTCTATAAGATCCTTTTCGGAATAGGGTGATCGCTGCTGATTCCTTAGCTTCATTACGGCATTATAAAAATCTTCGAATGTTTCTTGCTGTAACTGTCGTCGGTCCATAATTTTCTTTTGTAATACGAACTCACTCTCGTACCGACGGTATTGAGTTAGGAATGCCCTCTCCAGATCTTCCCAGGATTGTATTGGGGTCAATTTACGGACATTCCAGTACCAATCCAGAGCTTGACCTTCCAAAAGGAGATGAAAACTGCGGCGGATGTCATTAAATGAGCAGTTATAGTCTTGGCGCAGCACGTCCACTCTAAATATAAAATCTTCTGCACTTATTGACTTATTTGTCCCATCAAACTTAATGCCCCATTTCGATAAATCGATCTTTCTGTTGTTGGTGAAAGTAAACTCAGGCGGTAGACTGGGAGCTGGTGACGAATGAGATGCGAAAATAGGAGCTTGCTGAGAATTTGGTTGTTGATTATTTGTTGCACCATATGGTGTTTGTTGTTGCATATATGGTTGTTGTGGCTCTTGAACTGGAAAACTATACGGGTGCTGTGATGGTAATTGCTGAGGACCAATGTTCCGTTGAGCCCCTGATTGTAATTGCGTTGGATTTGTATACACGGTATTTTGTGCCATATTTGGAGGATTTGTCGGTGCAGTCAAACGACTGACAGCTCGAGTTATCTCCTGCAACGTATTTTGCAAGACCAACGTCTGACGAGCCACCTCCTCACGAATAAGGTCTGCATTAGTAACTGCCCTATTGTTGGACGTCGGATCCGACGGCGCAGGGACCGCATTTTGCCGATATTCCTGTTGGACATTACGAGCAGTAATACTACTGTACTCTGGGGTAGTAATAGAAACATTTGATACACTCGAATCATTTGACCCACCAGTCCTATCTTGAGCCAATGTCATAAACTGTTGCACGCTTGGTGCTATGGGCGCCATAGATGTGGTGACCGTATTGGTATTTGGCGCGGAACTACCCGTTACTGAATTCGGAACAATTGTTTGATCCGTAGAACGCGGCATATTTTCTATGTTAACGACCGTGTCACCGGTACCTAACTGATTCCTATTTGAACGAGTTAAAACCATAACCCAAGCGAAAACAAATTAACTCACTTCACTGAAAATTACTTTGAATTTGAGGCAAGGTAATCACCGTAAGATATATATTAAAATAAAAATAAAATATTTTCACCAAAATAAAGAAAATTATAGAACAAAGTAAATATAAAATATATAAGAAAGTGCATATTAGGTAGCGATTGGATGTCAAAATGATGATGAGATAGGAGAGTAACAAAAAGGAAAAAGAAAAAGATGACTTCCTATCGTGCCAAAATAACTAATCTTCCAAAACTTTTATATTAATTTCCGAAAAGAGAAAAAGGAATGTTACTGTATACCAAGGGAACTTTACGTTAGAGAAAATCAAAAGTTGGAAACCTTGAGTAGCTCTGGTGATTGCAGCTGATGCCTATCGGCTGATATAGCAAAAGGACTAACCACCACAAGAACCCGGATTCCCCAAAAAGCACCAATAGAAAATTCACAAATTCCTATAGCAATTAGTCGCCTAATAATAACCGCAAAGGACTAAGACTTATCCGAATTTGAAAAGATTCTAGATACTTTAAAAACTACTTTACCTTACCCCCAAGTCGCAATTACGTTCGCCAAATTGACATATTGACGCAAGACCTACTCGGGATTCAATGGAGTAAAAATGAAAACTACATGAAAACTGAACTATTGGTAGAAAAATGAAAACAAATCCATCCTAATCAATCAAATGTCGCAACGCGTTAAGGACTCTGTATCCTACTCAACGGGACTTACATATCCTGACTAGAATTTAATAACTTGAAGAAAAAAAAAACAAAAAATCTCACTGTCGGGCCCCACGTTGGGCGCCATTTGTAGTACCGGCCAGATTGACAAACGACTTTTAACCTTACCTTTTCTGAGCTACCAGATCGAGCGGCGCTGGTAATTGCATTTGCCGGGCTATTACTCGCCGGATTGGGATGGGATCTTGCTCTACTGAAGCTCGTTGCCTAGGTACAAACAAAATACCAGCTAACTATAATAACTTAAATGAGGGACCCGAAGTGAGATTAACATTCCCTTTAACTCTCTAGCTATGGAACACTCTTACTTCCTTTTCCCTTTTAACTGAACGGCGGATGTTTAGCCGCAACAATACCCTCCCACAAGAGAACCATATGGCTCTCTATCCATGGTAACCTCTGGTAACTGTAGTTACCCCTAACGTTTCCTCTCCCATCTCACCAATCAAATCTTCATCCAATCACTTACCTTTAAATTTCTAATGCCACATCTCAAAGTACAAACTCATATTTCAATTTCTTTTCAACAACGTTATAAAATATTTTGTTTTATTTTAATAAGAAGAAATCCTAATACAAATTTTTAACAAAATTTATGTTTCAAGGCATCATTTTTAAATTAGAATTCATGAGTAAAAAGAAAAGGAAGAAATTTCAAAACAATATTAAATAGCTAATATAAAGGAATTAATTCAAATAACTAAGAAAACAAAGGTAACAATAACAAATTATGAAATGAATTTGATTAAATACTACTACAATTAGGTGAAGCGCTATTTTTTCCAAGATATCGGCAGCTAATTTTGATTTCGCCTTGTGATGCTGGTACGTATAGTATGTAGAACAAAAAAAATCATATATGTATATGTTTGCTAAATTACTGCAATTCTATCATATTCATATCTATTATCTAGGCTTTTAGCTGTGGCATTCATACATACTTCGGTAAAAAGTCTAAACCAGACTTTGCGTCGTCGATGGGACCTAACTTGAGCTCAAGTTGTGGAACCTATGTCGCGCACCTTATCCACTTCGATAAAGGAATGAATTGCTCCCGAACTACCCAGATAAATGCCCTAACTAACGTTATAATAGTTTTTATTTTAAATTTTTCTTTTAATAAAACAAAAAAAAAAAAAAAAATACATATATGCTTCTTTTCAGGTTGTCCGTCTGGTCCTGGTCTGGCGAATACCTTGAGCCCCTTTAGGGTTGGAAAGGGATGATGTTGCGGTGGTGAGATCCCTCGTTGGATGTGGCAGAGGTGGCTTGGGCTTTATTAATTTTTTCTTTTGGTTTGATAATTTTATATTTAGTTTTCTTTAAAAATTTTAGTTCTTGAATTTTGCACTTTTAGCTTTATGTTTCCAGTTTCCTTTCTTTTTTTTTGACCATTTTTTAGACGAACACATTGTGCCACAAATGATATACCAAATTAAAGTGCAATCATAATGGTCTAAACTGATGCATAAATGACTGTCATAGCATGAAAACTGTCAAAGTTATTCACAACCATATCGGAACCTCAAATTACCGCCTTTTTAAACCTGGGAAAATAATTCTACCGATCTATCCAATTGGCCATTTTCCAAAAATACATTATGCAATAAATTATATACCAAAACAAATGGCAACTAAAATGCAATAAAAAGATGTATAAACGACTGTTATAACATGAAAACTATAAAAGTTATTTGCAACCATATCGGGGCCTTAAATTACCGCATTTTTAAACCTGTACCAATAAATATACCGATCTATCCAATTTTTGTAAAAATTCATTATGCCACAAATTATACACAAAAACAAAGCGCAACTGTAATGCTTTAAAATGATGCATAAACTATTTCCCTAGCATGAAAACTGTCAAAGTTATTTGCAACCATATCGGAACCTCAAATTACCGCATTTATTAAACATAGAACAATAATTCTACCGATCAATCAAATTGACCATTTTTTAGACGAACACATTATGCCACAAATGATATACCAAATTAAAGTGCAATCATAATGCTCTAAACTGATGCATAAATGACTGTCATAGCATGAAAACTGTCAAAGTTATTCACAACCATATCGGAACCTCAAATTACCGCCTTTTTAAACCTGGGAAAATAATTCTACCGATCTATCCAATTGGCCATTTTCTTAAAATACATTATGCAATAAATTATATACCAAAACAAATGGCAATTTTAATGCTTTAAAATGGTGCATAAACGACTGTCCTAGCACGAAAACTGCCAAAGTTAATTGCAACCATATCGGAACCTCAGATTACTGCTTTTATTAAACATAGAACAATAATTCTACCGATCTATCAAATTGACCAATTTGTAAAAACACACATTATGCTACAAATTATATACCATATTAAAGTGCAATCATAATGCTTTAAAATGATGCATAAATGACTGTCATAGCATGAAAAATGTCAACGTTATTTGCAACCATATCGGAACCTCAAATTACCGCCTTTTTAAAGCTGTGAAAATAATTCTACCGATCTATCCAATTGGCAATTTCCTAAAAATATATTATGCAATAAATTATATACCAAAACATATGGCAACTATAATGCAATAAAAAGATATATAAACGACTGTTATAACATGAAAACTATAAAAGTTATTTGCAACCATATCGGAGCCTTGAATTACCGCATTTTTAAACCTGTACCAATAAATATACCGATCTATCCAACTTTTGTAAAAATTCATTATGCCACAAATTATACACCAAAATAAAGTGCAACTGTAATGCTTTAAAATGATGCGTAAACTAATGCCCTAGCATGAAAACTGTCAAAGTTATTTGCAACCATATCGGAACCTCAAATTACCGCGTTTTTAAACATAGAACAATAATTCTACCGATCCATCAAATTGACCATTTTTTAGACGAACACATTATGCCACAAATGATATACCAAATTAAAGTGCAATCATAATGCTCTAAACTGATGCATAAATGACTGTCATAGCATGAAAACTGTCAAAGTAATTCACAACCATATCGGAACCTCAAATTACCGCCTTTTTAAACCTGGGAAAATAATTCTATCGATCTATCCAATTGGCCATCTTCTAAAAATACATTATGCAATAAATTATATACCAAAACAAATGGCAACTAAAATGCAATAAAAAGATGTATAAACGACTGTTATAACATGAAAACTATAAAAGTTATTTGCAACCATATCGGGGCCTTAAATTACCGCATTTTTAAACCTGTACCAATAAATATACCGATCTATCCAATTTTTGTAAAAATTCATTATGCCACAAATGATATACCAAATTAAAGTGCAATCATAATGCTCTAAACTGATGCATAAAAATAAAGTGCAACTGTAATGCTTTAAAATGATGCATAAACTATTGCCCTAGCATGAAAACTGTCAAAGTTATTTGCAACCATATCGGAACCTCAAATTACCGCGTCTTTAAACATAGAACAATAATTCTACCGATCCTTCAAATTGACCATTTTTTAGACGAACACATTGTGCCACAAATGATATACCAAATTAAAGTGCAATCATAATGCTTTAAAATGATGCATAAATGACTGTCATAGCATGAAAACTGTCAAAGTTATTCACAACCATATCGGAACCTCAAATTACCGCCTTTTTAAACCTGGGAAAATAATTCTACCGATCTATCCAATTGGCCATTTTCTAAAAATACATTATGCAATAAATTATATACCAAAACAAATGGCAACTAAAATGCAATAAAAAGATGTATAAACGACTGTTATAACATGAAAACTATAAAAGTTATTTGCAACCATATCGGGGCCTTAAATTACCGCATTTTTAAACCTGTACCAATAAATATACCGATCTATCCAATTTTTGTAAAAATTCATTATGCCACAAATTATACACAAAAACAAAGTGCAACTGTAATGCTTTAAAATGATGCATAAACTATTGCCCTAGCATGAAAACTGTCAAAGTTATTTGCAACCATATCGGAACCTCAAATTACCGCGTTTTTAAACATAGAACAATAATTCTACCGATCCATCAAATTGACCATTTTTTAGACGAACCCATTATGCCACAAATGATATACCAAATTAAAGTGCAATCATAATGCTCTAAACTGATATATAAATGACTGTCATAGCATGAAAACTGTCAAAGTTATTTGCAACCATATCGGAACCTCAAATTACCGCGTTTTTAAACATAGAACAATAATTCTACCGATCCTTCAAATTGACCATTTTTTAGACGAACACATTGTGCCACAAATGATATACCAAATTAAAGTGCAATCATAATGGTCTAAACTGATGCATAAATGACTGTCATAGCATGAAAACTGTCAAAGTTATTCACAACCATATCGGAACCTCAAATTACCGCCTTTTTAAACCTGGGAAAATAATTCTACCGATCTATCCAATTGGCCATTTTCTAAAAATACATTATGCAATAAATTATATACCAAAACAAATGGCAACTAAAATGCAATAAAAAGATGTATAAACGACTGTTATAACATGAAAACTATAAAAGTTATTTGCAACCATATCGGGGCCTTAAATTACCGCATTTTTAAACCTGTACCAATAAATATACCGATCTATCCAATTTTTGTAAAAATTCATTATGCCACAAATTATACACAAAAACAAAGCGCAACTGTAATGCTTTAAAATGATGCATAAACTATTGCCCTAGCATGAAAACTGTCAAAGTTATTTGCAACCATATCGGAACCTCAAATTACCGCATTTATTAAACATAGAACAATAATTCTACCGATCTATCAAATTCACCAATTTGTAAAAACACACATTATGCTACAAATTATATACCATATTAAAGTGCAATCATAATGCTTTAAAATGAAGCATAAATGACTGTCATAGCATGAAAACTGTCAATGTTATTTGCAACCATATCGGAACCTCAAATTACCGCCTTTTTAAAGCTGTGAAAATAATTCTACCGATCTATCCAATTGGCAATTTTCTAAAAATATATTATGCAATAAATTATATACCAAAACAAATGGCAACTATAATGCAATAAAAAGATATATAAACGACTGTTATAATATGAAAACTATAAAAGTTATTTGCAACCATATCGGAGCCTTGAATTACCGCATTTTTAAACCTGTACCAATAAATATACCGATCTATCCAACTTTTGTAAAAATTCATTATGCCACAAATTATACACCAAAATAAAGTGCAACTGTAGTGCTCTAAAATGATGCATAAACTATTGCCCTAGCATGAAAACTGTCAAAGTTATTTGCAACCATATCGGAACCTCAAATTACAGCGTTTTTAAACATAGAACAATAATTCTACCGATCAATCAAATTGACCATTTTTTAGACGAACACATTATGCCACAAATGATATACCAAATTAAAGTGCAATCATAATGCTCTAAACTGATGCATAAATGACTGTCATAGCATGAAAACTGTCAAAGTTATTCACAACCATATCGGAACCTCAAATTACCGCCTTTTTAAACCTGGGAAAATAATTCTACCGATCTATCCAATTGGCCATTTTCTTAAAATACATTATGCAATAAATTATATACCAAAACAAATGGCAATTTTAATGCTTTAAAATGGTGCATAAACGACTGTCCTAGCACGAAAACTGCCAAAGTTAATTGCAACCATATCGGAACCTCAGATTACTGCTTTTATTAAACATAGAACAATAATTCTACCGATCTATCAAATTGACCAATTTGTAAAAACACACATTATGCTTCAAATTATATACCATATTAAAGTGCAATCATAATGCTTTAAAATGATGCATAAATGACTGTCATAGCATGAAAAATGTCAATGTTATTTGCAACCATATCGGAACCTCAAATTACCGCCTTTTTAAAGCTGTGAAAATAATTCTACCGATCTATCCAATTGGCAATTTTCTAAAAATATATTATGCAATAAATTATATACCAAAACATATGGCAACTATAATGCAATAAAAAGATATATAAACGACTGTTATAACATGAAAACTATAAAAGTTATTTGCAACCATATCGGAGCCTTGAATTACCGCATTTTTAAACCTGTACCAATAAATATACCGATCTATCCAACTTTTGTAAAAATTCATTATGCCACAAATTATACACCAAAATAAAGTGCAACTGTAATGCTTTAAAATGATGCATAAACTATTGCCCTAGCATGAAAACTGTCAAAGTTATTTGCAACCATATCGGAACCTCAAATTACCGCGTTTTTAAACATAGAACAATAATTCTACCGATCCATCAAATTGACCATTTTTTAGACGAACACATTATGCCACAAATGATATACCAAATTAAAGTGCAATCATAATGCTTTAAAATGATGCATA